AGGGCCAGATCAAGAATCCCCTTTCCTGAACTCCAGAGCTGCCTCCCACAGAAGCAAAACTCACTGGGCGTGGCTTCCAACCGTGGCATTGCTGGTTAGAGCTCAGCTCAGTAACCAGAGTAGAGGCCATGCTGGCCACTCCTGGGAAATATAAGGTCCCACACTTACTCCTTCCTGGGCTCTCTGTCTCCCTCAATATCTATTTTCTGGGCTATCACAGGGAACCCGGGGCTGCTCCTTCTTGCTATCTCTAGCTAGGAGCACTCTTGTCTCAACTGGTGATTCCCCTTACATCATTCAGGTCACTCCTAAAATACCACCTCCACTCAAAAGTCACCTCTAAGCCAGGCGGTGGTGGCGCACGCCTTTAATCCCAGCACTCGGGAGGCAGAGCCAGGCGGATCTCTGTGAGTTCGAGGCCAGCCTGGGCTACCAAGTGAGTTCCAGGAGAGGCGCAAAGCTACACAGAGAAACCCTGTCTCGAAAAACCAAAAAAAAAAAAAAAAAAAAAAAAAAGTCACCTCTAAACCCCTAACCCCGGTGCGGGGCCACCACTGCTGTCCGGGGGAGGCTTTGCGGCAGCTTGGCCCTTCGTTTGCTTCCTGCTCCAGTCACTGCCTGACAAACTGTGGTCTCTGCCAAGGTATCTATCCACTTTGTCTTCATTAAACTGTAAACTCGGGGGGGGGGGGGGGGGGGGGGGGGGCTTCCAGCCTCGGTTCCTTGGTCCAGTTCTAGTGCAGAACTCAGTGTATAAGCGCCCTTGCTGCTCAAGCATGAGGAACTGAGTTCGAATCTCCAGTACCCACGTGGAAAGCCAAGCATCGTCGCCTTACTGCACTCCTAGGAGCTGATTAATGTGGCTTGATGGCCTAATTCCAGGTTCAGTGGCATTACCAGGGATCAAGGTAATAAGGCAGAGAGTGATGGAGCAGGGCACTTGAAGTCTTCCTCTGCCTCTACATGAGTGTGCACCAACACTCACACTGTGCATATAACCACACACACACATACATACTATACATACATACACACATCCACACATAGAAATATCAGGGACAGGAGGCTGTGTGTGGAACTGGGCTGAAGAACTAATAGGAAGCAGGGAGGCTACGTTGATAGGATTTTCACAACTGTCCTCACCTGCATACAGGGAAGAGACCATTCTAGCGAGGAATGGGGGAAGAGAGACACCCAAGAGATCTCTGGAGATGAGAACTCCAGGTGGGAGGGCCCACAAGAGCAAAGTTAAGGGAAAGGCTGCAGGGACAGGGGAGGTGGGTTGGGCACAGTGACCAGCATATGTGGCCACAGCCTTGGGCTCAGGGTTCCTGGGAGGGAGGGGAGAGTTGGTTGCAGAGGGTGTTGAATCACAGGCTACGTTTGCAATTTATAAACGAAGAGTTGTGGTGGTCGGTGCACACCTTTAACCCCCACACTTGGGAGGCACAGGCAGGAGGGTCTCTGTGAGTTTGAGGCCAGACTGGGCTACATGGCATCCACCCATGCTTTCCAGAATTATATAGTGAGACCTATTTTCAAAACAAAAACAAAAGTATGAAACAACAACAACAAAAATCTGAGACGATCCTAAGGAAATCTCGATATCTTTGCCATTTCCTAGGCCTTTTGGCTACTATCAAGTGTATAAACACACGCGTGTACACACAAGCACACACGGTTTGGTCGGCCCCCATGGTTTAGTTCGGGCACAAAATGTTTCAAAAATGAAATCTGACTCCTGTGCCTACCCTCCAGGCCCTAGAAGTAACCAAGTAACGGCTGTGTCTTGCTCCAGGCGGTTCACACCCACCAGGAGCGGCCAGGGTGCAGTGCCCACGGTTCCCGCCTGACTCCTGGGCCGTGGCCCTCTGCGCCCTGGCACCTTTTCTGCGGAGAACTTCTACGCGTTCCACTCGAGGCAGGTGAAGTTGGCTGGGTCCGCCTACTTCCGCCCCACCAGCCAATAGAGAACGTGCATGTAAATTACCCCGCTCCTACGGCCACCAATGACTGCGAAGGCTCAACAGGTCCGCCAGGTTCTAGGTTTCCGCTCTGAGCGCGCTGGCGCGGTTGGGCACATTCGCGCCGAGGACAAGGAGAGATCCCGGAGCCGGAGACACCGGGACTGCAGGAGAGAAGCCCTTGGAGCAAGGAGGGAGATGGGGAAGAGGCTGGAGGCCGCTGCCTGACCTTGGGTCGGCCTGGCTGCCTCGCCCCGCCCCTTTTCTGCCACATGCGCTCATGGGTGGACCTGGCTCAGTGGCTGTCCTGTCTGCAGGTTAACTGTGTGACCTTTCGAAGCTTCAGTTCCGAAGCTAGAAAAAGGGACTAACAACGTTCTCCTAGCCCGTGCGTGAGGAACCGTGGGCAGGCTCCAAATGAAAGATGCTGGGGAGCTCCACTTTTGCAGACCACTGTGTTTGCTTGTCGGTCATCTCTTGATGACTGGATGTGGGCAAAGGCGGTTGTGGACAAGCCTGATGTCCTAGTTTGATCTCTGGAACCCTCGTGGAGGTGGAAGGAGCGAAATGATTTCTTAAAGCTGTTATCTGACCTTCACACAATTGTAAAAAGAATTTAAGAAAAAAAAGTTACCTATGGATGAGTGACTGTTGCACCCATGAACTCACTGCAGCAGTGGCTACCAGCACAAGACTCCTGCCCATCAACATTCCCTTCGATGGGGCAGGGGCTCATAAGGCCCCACCCCTCCCTGAGGAGTTAATGTTTATGTTACAGTTAATGTTTACTGGGAGAGGGAGGTTATATTCCTCAGTGGTGTAGTCATAGGTAAGTTGCCCTTGTTCAAGTAAATCATCCATGTCCTCCAGGCAACTCTAATTAAATACAATGGGCAGCACACAAGACATGAAGTAGGAGAGGGACTTGTTGGGAAGTAGGGCTTCAGAGGGAGGGAGAAGAGAAGAGAATGGACAGACAGTGATCAAAGTGTAATTGTGCATGTGTGTGTGTGTGTGTGTGTGTGTGTGTGTGTGTGTGTGTGTGTGTGTGTGTGTGTAAAATTGTAAAAGAATAAATTGACTAAAGGAAGAAAGAAAAAAGGAAGGAAGAAAGATGGAAAGAAAGTAGAAGCCCACCGGAGCATGGTAGCACATACCTTTAGTCCCAACACTAAAGAGGCAGGTGAATCTTATGAGTTCAAGGCCAGCCTGGTCTACATAGTAAGTTCCAGGCCAGCCAGGGCTACGTAGTGGAAAAAAAAAAAAAGAAGAAAGAAAAAAAGAAAGAAAGAGAAAATTAGGTTGTAGTAGGTCAGTGGTAGAGAGCTTGTCTGCCATAGGTGAGATCCTGGGTTCAAGGCTTGGCATAACAGTATCAGCATGTCTTTGGGGTTAGACAACCCAGCATGTGAATGCCGGTGCTGCCAGCTGCTTGTGGTAGGACCTGAGGGACACCATACTCCCCTCTGAATCTTGCTTTTCCAGGGCTGAAGGGAGAGTGGCAGGAGCTGCTGTCAGGCCTGGCACAGGACCAGGACCAGTGTGGCTAGGACCAAGGGGCCTCCCAGAGCTCCATTTCCTCATCTATCTTTCAGATGCCACATGCCTGGCAAGGTGGTCAAAAATCTTAGGTGAGTCGAGACACATTTTTAAACAGAAAAGCATGACCCTGATGTTAATTAGTGGAGTGTGACATGGCTGGCTCATTGGAAAAGCATCAATATTGGCTCTAGTTCATCCTCTTGTTTGTGGATGACCTTGGAAAGGTTATTCCACTCATTGGAGGGTCCGTTTTTTTCTCTCCCGTAAAAGATGGAGTATAGGAAACGCCTACACCACATCCAGCACACAGTAGACTTTAACAAGTTAATAGACATTCTTTCTTTAGTATGTTGTTTCCTTGCTACTCCTACTCAGTGGAGTTAAGATCCTACTTCAGGGTGCTGGAGAGATGGCTTAGTGGTTAAGAGTACTGAATGCTCTTGTAGAGGACCCGGACTCAGTTCCCAGCACCCACACGGTGGCTCACAACCATCTGTAACCTCACTCAGTTCCAGGAGATCCAGTGCCCCTCTATGGCCTCTGTGAGTACCAGGCACACACGTGGTGTACAGACACACATGCAGGCAAAGCATTCATAATACTACTGCTACTACTACTACTACTACTACTACTAATAATAATAATAATTAATAATAAATGATTCTATTTCAACTCACATTTAGCAGGTGGCATAAAGACGTAAAACCTTTATTCTTTAGTAATTGAAGCTATTCATTAACCACGCACTATGTGCCAGGCACTTTGCCCATGAAGCTAGTGTTATCAGAGAATTAGGGATCCCTTTTGGATACTTAGTCTTGTTAATAAATGAATCTAGAAACACACTCAGAAGAAAGCTTGCAGATAATTTGGGTAGAGTTTGAGAGAAAGCCATAGGGCAGGCAAGCTGTAAATCTCAGTAAGTGGCGTGTGAAATGAAATGGAGACAAGGAAGAAAGTAACGGGTCAGTGAGGTGGCTCAGCGGGTAAAGGCACTCACCACCAAGCCTAATAAGACCTGAGTTCAATTCCCAGGCACCACATGGTAGGAGAAAAACTCACTCCTGCAAGTTGTCCTCTGACATCCACATATGTCTCCGTATGCTCATGTCACTCCCAGCAATAAATAAATATTAATTTTTTTAAAGAAAGAAAGTCATAACCCTTGAGTTAATATCCAAGAAGCCCTGCATGCTCAGCAATGAGGGTCAGCAAGTAGCCATACAACGGAAGGGGAAGGGGGCTTCAGAGAAAGCGTGAGAACGCCCAGAGTGTCAGAGAAAGCATGCTTAGGCTTTTGGCCACTATCCAAGAGAAGAGGAGAGAGAAAAAGTAAAAGGAACAGTTGCTCTGCAGAACCTAGGAAGGGGGGAAGGCTGCATGGCAGAGGCTCTGTAGGTGGCTGCACTGACAGAGAGGCTTCTGGGAAGAACAAGTACATCATCTCATTAAGGGGGTAATTATTCCGCCCGTCTCCTTAGCATGCCTTCAGCTTCTGGGGGAGTTGATTCCTGTCCTGGTGACTGACAGGCCAGCCAGCTGGCTTAACCTCCCCATCTCTTTTATTTCTTTTTAGATTTATTTTACAGGTATGAGGGTTCTTCCTGAATGTCTGTATATGCACCACACGTGTTGCCTGGGGCCTGCAGAAGAGAGAAGAGGGTGTTGGATCCCCTGGAACTGAGTTACAGATGGTTACATGCTGTGGGTGCTGAAAATTGAACTTGGGTCCTCTGCAAGAACCACAAGAGGCCAGGCTGTGGTGGAGCATGACTTTAATCCCAGCACTCAGAAGGCAGAGGCAAGTGGATCTCTGTGAGTTCGTGGCCAGCCTGGTCTACAGAACGAGTTCTAGGACAGCCAGGGCTACACAGCAGGACCCTGTCTTGAAAAACAACAGCAGCAACAACAGAAGAATCGGTTCTCTCCTTCCCTCAGGTGAGTCCTGCGGGTCAATCTCAGGTTGCCAGGCTTATTGGCAAACACCTTTACCCACTAAACCTTTTCACCACCCCTAGATTAACTCTGAGGGGAGGAGACACAGTACATAATGTAGTGTTTTTATCTTTAGAGCAGATCAGAATGTCATTTCTCCACCCAAGTCCAGAAGTATTCCATTCTTTTGACCAGAAGGCCAAAGGAGGGGCAGTTATGATGTTTGTGGTGTTGCAGGAGGTGCTTTCCAAAATTGAGCACAGGGCCTCCAGGGCTACGAACCCTGGGCCAGCTACCTTTTACTAGCAGAATACATCTTCCTAAATCTTTTTTTTTTTTTTTGAAAGAACAAGAAAAAAATGTGTAATGACTATGTTTTTATAAATTAAGTTACAGATATAGTTTTGTAGTAGAGCATTTATCTGGCATGTGCGAGGTCCTGGGTTTGATTCCTAGCAACACACACACACACACACACACACACTCACACTCACACTCACTCACAGACACTCTCTCTCACACACTCACAGACACTCATTCATACACACACTCTCACACACAGACACACACATATTCACACACACAGACACACACATATTCACACACACTCTCACACACACATCAATACATTTAATGTGTCAGAAGAAACGGACTCTTTCATCCCTCGTTAATCTTTTCTTTCACAGTTTTCTTTCTTTTCCTTCTATTTTGGACAGGCTCTCTTGTAGCCAAATCTGGCCTTGAACTTGTGATTCTCCTGCCTCCACCTCCCACGTATATACAACCACACCCAACCACAATTTTTTTCTTGTAAATACGCTTCAGATTATTTTATAATTTCTAAAGACATTTAAAGTGGGAGAAATTGTACACTAGAAACTAACTCAAGAATTATTATGAGCAAGCTATACAGAGTTTTCCCAGAAGAATAAGTAATCAATTTTTAATGGGCCAAGAAAGTGAACGGACAATTCACACAACCTACTCAAAGTGAGGTAGAAGCTGTGTGGAATATGCATGCCTGTAGTCCCAGCACTTGGAAGGTAGAGGTTGGAGGCTAAGAACACTGAGGCTGGCCTCACCTACTAATGTGTTGAAGGCTAGCCTGAGCTAAACCAAAATGAATTAGAATTGTTTTATTACTTCCACAATTTAAGTAATATTGGGAATCTGCAAGCTCTCCAAATCGTGCAAAAATTAAAATATAGATAGTAGTAGAGGTCCTGACCACTAAAACTTAGAGCTAAATTTTATAGACATTGTATAAAATTTAAAAGTGTAAGTAGAGGGCTGGGGTTTGCACACATGTAGCTGGGGTTTGCTCAGCAAACAGGCCGAATCTAGACTACCATGGATTTCTCTATGGTCCATGAACTAAAAGTATTTTCTACATTAAAAAAAAAAAGAAGAAGACAAAAGTGGACCTGGTAGCACAGACCTTTAATCTCAGCTACTCAGGAGACTGAGGCTGGAGGATTCCAAGTTCAAGTTCTGCCTGGGCAGTGTAGCAAGGCTGTCTCAAAAATATATAAAGCTTTAGGAAAACTTTGGGGGCTGCATCTCTATGGCAAACACTCTCACCTGTCTTTGCAGCTCCAGGTATGGCTTCCCTGGCCTCCTAGAAAGAGCTCTTGAGCCTCCGGCAGAGACAGAGACCTCTAGTGATAGAGATAGTGATAGAGCCTCTGCTTGTGCGGGAGCAGGAACTGAGAGCAGGAACGTGGTGAGAAGGGATCATCTGTCTCTCACCACACATCCTCTGCACCTTTAAAATGTTATTGTGGGGGCTGGAGTGATAGCTCAGCGATTAAGAGCACCGGCTGCTTTCCAGAAGACCAGGGTTCAATTCCCAGCACCCACCTTGAGGGCTCACAACTGTCCATAACTCCAGTCCCAGGGGATCTGTGTGATGCTGTCTTCTGACCTCCCTGGGCACCAGGCACTCAGGTGGTGCAGACAAAACACCCATACACATTAAATAAACAAATAAATAATAATTTTTAAAAGTATTATTGTGACCCGGTGATGGTGGTGCCCACCTTTAATCCGCAGGAGGCAGAGGCGGGTGGATCTCTGTGAGTTCAAGGCCAGCCTGGTCTACAGAGCAAGTTCCAGGACAGCCACGGCTGTTACACAGAGACACCCTGTCTAGAACAAAAGAAAGAAAGAAAGGTGTTATTGTGGAAATGCTTTTATTTGTTTTCGAGACAGGATATCTCTGTGGAGCCTTGGCTGTCTTGAAACTCGCTCTGTAGACCAGGCTGGCCTCACAGAGATCCGCCTGCTTCTGCCTCCCCGGTGCTGGGATTAAAGACATGTGCCACCACTGCCCAGCATGGACATGTTTTTTAAACTATTGTTTTCAATGTAAATATAAAGGCCGTGCGCTGGCTCAGTGGGTAAAGCCTCTGGCTGCCAAGCCTGGCAAGCTAAGTTCAAACCTGAGACTGACAGGATGGAAGGAGAAAATTGACCTCTGGAAGTTGTTCTCTGACTTCATACATATGCCAGGGACACATGCCTGCATACACACACACACACACACACACACACACACACACACACACACACACACACACACGATCAATGTAATTAATGTAAGTACAATAAAAAGAATAATAAAGGTGTATTAAACCAAGGTTAATCTTCCATCTCGTAAGTTGGGCAAGGAGACCAAATGTGACCTGCTGTCTCCTGGGCTGGAATTCACCCACAGAAAGCTAGACTCGTGTTTTGTTCTCAGGTTCACGAGGAAAACATTCAAGCTCCATCAAAGGTCACCTCTGGAGGACTGACCATGCCTTGCTGTAAACACTCCCCAAGCTTCTGAAGTCACCAGCTATGGAAGGAAATGAGCTGTTTGGAAGCATTGCAGTGGATTTCCCCAGCATCAGAGCTATTCAGGGCTGAGTCACTCCTCCCCTCTGGGCTTTCCCTGACACTCCAGTAAGGTAAGGAGAAGGCTCCCGAAGGGGCAACAGCTCTCCCTTCACCCTAATCCCCTACATGGGCATCTACGCCACCGGCCAGGAACCACTCACTTCCACATTCCTCCAGCTGTTCCAGGACACCGCTGGCCTTGGACAAATTTCTGGTTTCTCCTTCACCCGGCCCCAGAGTCAGCCCAGCGGCCATACTCCACACTAGGGACCATACTCCACCAAACAAGGGAGGGAAGGAAGTATGCTAGCCAAGTCCCAGCCTTTCTCCCTGTGCCTGTCACGGTACCCTGCAGGCTAGGCTGCGTCATTGTTGAGTTTATGATTGCTGTGATGAAACACCATGACCAAAAGCAACTTGGGGAGGAAAAGGTTTGTTTCAGCCTATAGTACCACAGCACAGTCCATCACTGAAGGAAGTCAGGGCAGGAACTCAAACAGGGCAGGAACCTGAGGCAGGAACTGAAACAGAGGTCATGGAAGGGTGCTGCTTACTGGCTTGCTTCACATGGCTTGCTCAACCTGCTTTCTTATAGAACCCAGGACCACCAGCCCACAAGTGGCTTTTCCCGCAGTGAGCTGAACCCTCCCACAATAATCATCAATTAAAAAAAAAAAAAGAATGCACCACAGACTTTCCACAGGCCCGTCTGATGGAGGCATTTTCTACATTGAGGTTCCCCTCTTTCCAAATGACTTTAGCTTGTATCAAGTTGCCATAAAACTAGCAGTCTGTGCGACATCACTCATTAAGCAGGGGACAGAGGCTGCAGTGTGGGACTTGACTGTCCGTTGACCCATGTTGCTTTCGCTCCCATCACATTGGCTGGGACTCCATCCAGATTCTTGTGTCCAGTTCATCCTGGATTTTTTTCTCTCTGCGAGCCAATAAACTCCTCTCTGGCCTCCTGGCACTGGGTTCTCGCCTCACAGTGGGAAACAGCTGAGGACAGACAGAGCGCTGAAGTCCAAGGCAACACCAGTCAGAGGATGCATGTTTATCACAGGGCTTCTGGGAAGGCCAAGTGTAAGATGCTGACCCTGTCTCTCTCAAACTGGGGCCACCAGCAACAAGGGTGCCTATAACAACGATCCAAAGAGCATTCTCGGTCCTCAGGGTCTTGGGTCTCCTCCCCAGGATCTAAACTGGGAAGTATGGTTATCTCTGCCCGAAGTCCACTCACTTCTCCTCACCTCAGCGTCACACCAAGGTTTGCATCACCACGCCCAGCTTTGTCAGCCTGGACAGAAAGATCGTTCTCACACATGGGACAGTGTGGGGGCACTCTGAGGACAAGTGTGCTAAGAAAAATAAGCTAGTCACAAAAAGACACACGCCACGGTTCTCCCTGTACTGGGGTCCCTAGAATAGTCAACAATCTTCCCAACACAGGAAAGGCAGGAGGACTGCTGTAAGTTCAAGGCTGGCCAGGGCTACGTGGGGGAGATGATGTGAAAATACAAAGCAGCACAGTTGACACGGGGACAGGAGGGAGCACGGGAACTCCAGGGGGGGAAGAGCGGGGCTGGGGCCCGTTGTTCAACCCACAGTGAGATCCAGGTTTGTAAGCTCAGCAGATTCTGGAGACAGATGAAGTGGCAGTTAGTGACAGTGTGCAGTTCCCATGCCAGGGGACCCCTAGACATCCAAAGGTGATCAGTTTGTTTTCGAGACAGAGTCTCTCTGTGTAGCTCACGCTGGCCTGGAACTTGTAATCTTTTTGCTTCTGCCTCCGGAAGGCCAGAAAGACCACTTTAAAAAACAAAACAACAAAACAAAAACTGTAGCCCAGGCTGGCCTTTAGTTCACTAGGTAGTTAAGGATGACCTTGAACTCCCGATCCTCTTGCCGCTGCTTTCTCAGTGCCAGGATTATGAACATGGACCATCGGTCCCACCCCCACCCATATCGTATGCAGTGCTGAAGAGATCAAATGCAGGCCTTGCTGTGTGCTCAGCAAGCCCTCTACCAGCTGAGCTGCACTCTCTCCCCATAACCATTCTTTTTCAGAGCTTAATGAATTGTGGTAGTGCACACATAACAAAGAATCTCCCTTTCAAACAGGCACGGTGACGCCCATTTGTAATCCCGGAACTCCAGAGGCCAGGGCAATAGGAGCGAGAGACCTAGGGCTAGCCTGGGCTACAGTTCGAGACTCTGTCTCAGACAACAGAGCGGTCTTCGGGGACTCCTTACTCTCAAATCCTACCTCTGATGCTCACAGGCTGTGTGGCCTTAGCTGAGTTGCTTTCCCTCTCTGTGTCGTTTCTTCCACGCACTGAGGATGCTGGCAGCACCCAGGACAAAGCATGCCCTTAGTGCCGTCACCTACTATTATTTCCACCTTGGTTTCTTTGGAGTGAGGCTGGCGGGAGAGGGGAAAACAATTGCCTACTCTTCTCTGAGGTCCCAGTGTTTCCCCCAGCACTGACCAACCCAGGGGCCCAGGGAAGGGTTGGAGAAAAAACGAGAGAGCCAGTCAGCCAGACTCCATACGCTGTGTGACTCAAGACCAGTAAGTGGGGGCTGGAGAGATGGGTCAGTGGTTAAGGGCACTCACTGCTCTTCCAGAGGACCTGGGTTCATTTCCCAGCAGCCACATAGCAGCTCACAACTGTCTGTAACTCCAGTTCCAGGGGATCTGGCACTCTCACACAGACATATGTGCAAAACATCAATGAGCAAAAAATAAAAATTAAAAAAAAAAAAGACTAGTCAGTGTACTTCTCTGTACTCGTATTGCCTGTCCACAGATCAGGTAAACTCCTCCTATCTTACAGGCAGAAGTCAGGATTAAAAGAATCAGTAGCAGGGACCACAGCTAGGCTCTTTGCATATCTGTCCCGACCTTCTTTCATGAAACTAGGGCTGGGGGCCTGAGCTGTGCTGGCTCCTTTCCCAGGCTGTTGCTAGTCTGCAAAGGACCAGAAAAAAAGCTGTCTCCAAGGACTACCGCTTTGGTCCTCGTGACCAGGATGAAAGTCCTTAACAAAAGGCCACCCTGGCTTCTCATGTTGTCAGAAGAGCCTTTGCCCTCATCTCAGCTGGGGGGTCAGGGAGATGCCTGGAGTGATAAACAAAGAAGGAGAGAAAATAAAACCCCAAACATGTTTACTCCGAGATGAGAGAGCATTGCTTCAGGCTGACCGCAAGGGCTTGTGTGTATAGAAGCCACATGTCTGGGGACATGCTGGAATGTCACAAATTGCAGGGACAAGCAAAGGCTTCTAGGGCCAGGGCAGGCAGGACCAGGACTCCACCCTGGAGGACCCTTCCTGGTGCCTTCTCTGATTCGCAGGTGGGTTCATAGCCAGGAGTCCTTGACACTCGCACACCCAATGACACCTAACCTGAGCCAACCCCGGCGATGTTCCATGAGCTAGGGTCCCTGTCCACTGACCCTGTCTCTGTCCCTCTGCTCTGGAGGACTACTGTGTTACCTTTGCTCATCCTCAGGTTAACAGTTTAGCTCCAACTTACCTTTTTTTCCCCCCCCTAGACAGACAGGGTTTCTCTGTGTAGCCCTGGCTGTCCTGGAACTCGCTCTGTAGACCAGGCTGATCTCGAATTCAGAAATCCACCTGCCTCTGCCTCCCAAGTGCCAACCCATCCTTAAAAGTGTTCAGAGCCAGAGAGATGGCTCAGTGGATAAAGGCAATTGCCACCAAGCCTGACGACCTGAGTTCAATGCCCAGGACCCACATGGCAGAAGAAAACTGACTCCTGAAAGCAGTCATCTCACCTCCAAGCCGGCTCTGTGGCACACGTGTGACCCAGCACACACACACACACACACACACACACACACACACACACACATACACACACAAGCACACACAAATAAATATATATATATAATTTCAAACAACAACAAACAAGGAACTGTTGGGGTGCCTCGTCGGCTGAGAGCCCTTGCTAAGCCCATGCCTTCCCTGCCTGCTGCAGTTCCACATACGCTGTTGTGCCCACTAACTCACAAGCAAGGCCAGTTTCATGCCATCCTGTTGTGATCAAAGATGTGGACTTGGGAGCCAGCCTGGTGTGTTTGGATCTTAGTGCCCCAGCTGAGTGACCTTGAGAAGCATCACTTTATGTCTATAGCCCCCCCCCCCCCCCCGCCCCCCCATCTCTCTCTCTGAGATGGTTTAGTGGTTAAGAGAACTTGCTGCTCTTGCAGGGGATCTAGATTTGGTTCCACCATCCACATGGTGGCTCACAGCTGTCTGTTACTCCTGTTCCAAGGGATCCAATGCCCTCTCTGGCTTCCATGGGCACCAGGAATGTATGTGGTACACAGACAAACCACCCATACACACAAAACAAAAATAAAAAATCTGCTGTGTGGTGGTAGCTCATGACTTTAATCCCAGCACTTGGAGGCAGAGGAAGGCAGATCTCTGAGTTCGAGGTCAGCCTGGTCTACAGTGAGTTCCAGGACAGCCAGAGCTACACAGAGAAACCCTGTCTCAAAAAAAAAATTGTTCTTAAGCCGGGCGGTGGTGGCGCACGCCTTTAATCCCAGCACTCGGGAGGCAGAGCCAGGCGGATCTCTGTGAGTTCGAGGCCAGCCTGGTCTCCAAAGCGAGTTCCAGGAAAGGTGCAAAGCTACACAGAGAAACCCTGTCTCGAAAAACCAAAAAAAAAAAAAAAAAATTGTTCTTAAATATTTTATTTTTAATCATGTATGCAAGTGGGATATTGCATCAGACCGCCTGGAGCTGGAGTTGAAAGCAGTGTGAGCCACTCAACGTGGGTGCTGGGAGGTCCTCTGTAAGATCAGAACCTATTTTTAATTGCTGAGCCATCTCTCCAGCCTCACTTTTTAAAAAAAATTTGTTTTTATTATTTTAATTATGTGCATGTGTGTAGGAGGTGTGTGCACATGAATGCAAGTGCCTACAGAGGTCAGAGTTGTGAGGAATTGTAACAATAGGCAGTTGTGAGCCACCTGATGTGGGTGCAGCCATGTAAAAAGGGGTTTAGCAACACTCATTCATAGTCCCAGGACTGGGAAGGGGAGGGAGGCCCTGGGGCCTAATTAGCCAGGCAGTTCAATCCAAAAGCTAGTGATTCAGTGAGAGACATTGCCATAACGAGCAGACAGTAAGCAGCACCCCTCCACGGCTTCTGCTTCATTTCTTGCCTTGAGTTCCTGCCTTGACTTCCCTTCATAATGAAGTATAACCTATAACCCGGGAATTGTAAGCTGAAACCAACCCTTTTCTCCCCCAGTTGCTTTTGGTCACGATATTGTATCACAGCAACAGAAACCCTAACAAAGACATACATGCACACAGACACAGACGCAGACGCAGACACACACACACACACACACACACACACACACACACACACACACGCACATGCACACGCGCACGCACACTATCAATCTATTTGGAGCTCTACCTGTGCTAGTTGCTCTGTCTCACTGTCACCCCGCTCTGAGTGGGGCTGCTTCACTTTGTCACTAACAGTGCTGCAGTGAGTGTCTCTGCCCAGGCTCCCCCAGAAGTGGAACTTTAGGTCCTGAGACATGCTCACTCTTCAGCTCAAATACCACCCAGTTGCTTTCCAGAATATCTGTTAAGATTCCACAGTGTCCCGGCCGCTTCTCCTCTCCCTGCACTGTCTCCAACACTTGCAAGTATTATACCTTTTAGTTTGCAGTGGGTCTGAAGTTGTAGCTCACTGTTTTGATCATTGCTAGCTTCCTGTCCATCTTCTCTGCTACAGTATAAGTCTGTAAACGAGCGGTCCATGGCCCCCAGAAGGCACAGGCACGTCCCAGCTACCTTCCCAATGTCTCCCACATCCATCCTTTTGTTCGAATGAAGAGTGAGTGGCTCACATGGGCAACCCTCCTCAGCACTAAGATCAAGACCCTGCTGTGAGGCCAATGGGAACCAGGGATGCTGGACAGAGAGGTCCATGGGGACCAGAGATGCTGGACAGAGAGGCCCAGGAGGACCAGGGATGCTAGACAGAGAGACCCATGGGGACCAAAGATGCTGGACAGAGAGACCCATGGGGACCAGAGGTGCTGGACAGAGAAACAAGGGCTGTGATCAGGAAGAAAGCTGCCATTTGGGGACCAGAGCCTTGATCCCCTACATCCTCCCCTACCCCTCATCAGCCAGCTCTGCTTCAGGCTTGCCTTCCTCATTCAGAAAATGGGACTTACAAGATTATTTTCAGGTTGAGATGAGCAAATGGACTGGTGAGGAAAAACTTCCTAGACTGCCAAGTGCATCTGGGCAGGCAGCCATGACTGTGGGGAAGGATGGTGCTAATGGCCTGTTCTAGGACAGTTTCAGCCTATGGTTCTCAGCAGCTTTGGAGGAATGAAGCTCTTCACAGCGGATCTGCTGGGTGTGGAAAGGGATGAGGCCCTTTGGGGGGTGAAAATGGAGCCTAAGGGAGGCTGTTCATCTTGTTTTCCAGACTGTTGGGCCTGCCTGGGTGACAGGAGGGTCAGGAACAGAAGCTGATGGGGCAACAAGAGCCCGTGTTCAGTCTCCAGCACCCTCCCTCAACAAGCCTCCAATAGACGCAGAGGTCGAGGAGCTGGGAGTGAGGGAGGGGACAGCCACTGGACCAGCAATGAGGACAGATGAAGCCACTGTGACAAGAGTGGGGGGTGTCTTCGCTTTGCTGGGACTGAGACGTCTGCCTTTCCAGTGGTACAGCCTGGGGTAGTACACAAGGCTGGCACGGAGGCACTGGGGTGCTGGGCTCCAGGCATCCTTATATCCTGTTGCTTGCTCACACACTCTCAAGACACAAAGGACAATCTGTTTGTCATCCAGACAGACAGAAGAATGCAGGTGACCTACTGCCTTTCTGTCGAAAATGCAACATGGCCAGCCCCAGAGACTGTCCAAAGTGATGTTTGTTTGTTTGTTTGTTTGTTTTTGAGGGAGGGTGGTTTTTTGAGACAGGGTCTCTCTGTAGCTCTGGCTGTCCTGGAACTTGCTCTGTAGCCCAGGCTGGCCTTGAACTCACAGAGATCCACCTGCCTCTGCCTCCCGAGTGCTGGGATTAAAGGCGTGCGCCACCACGGCCCGACCCAAAGTGATCTTTGGTTCTTGGTACTCATGCCCCAGTACAGTCCCCTCTTGTGTTGAAAAGGAATGATATAGGTAACTGTCTTAGCTTCTTTTCTGTTGCCAATAAAACAGCCTGACAAGGCCATTTTATGGCCGGGTGGTAGTGGCACACACCTTTGATCCCAGCACTAGGGAGGCAGAGGCAGGTGGATCTCTGTGAGTTCAAGGCTAGCCTGGTCTACAGATTGAGTTCCAGGACAGCCAAGGCTACATAGAGAAACCGTGCCTCAGAAAAACAAAAACCAAAAACAACAAGAAAAACAATTTACGGGAAAAAGGGTTTTAGTTCAGCTCACAGTTCAAAGTTCACATCATCATTTCTGGGCATTGTGGGGGTGGGGAGAGTGGCAGAAGGCACAGGAGTGAGGCAGCTGGTCACACACATGTGATAAAATGTACACAGCTATACACATGCACACACACACACAGACAATGCATGCTTGACCGGCCAGATCCGAGTAAGGGCTGTGGCTTGCAGTGTGTCCGTTTTCTGGGTCTGACATCTTTCTGTGCTCTGCAGGCTGTTCCACTGGGGGAGGCTGAGTTGAGAGCTCACTGTTCATCCAACTATGCCTTGTACGTTGCCATTTCCTGTGTCTATAATTAAATCAAAACAAAGAATTGTTTTGCTTGAGTTTTTTTTTTTTTTTTTTTTTTTTTTTTTTAAAGATTTATTTATTTAGTATACAATGTTCTGTCTGCATGTATGTCTGTCTGCAGGCCAGAAGAGGGCACCAGATCTCATTACAGATGGTTGTGAGCCATCATGTGGTTGCTGGGAATTGAACTCAGGACCTCTGGAAGAGCAGTCAGTGCTCTTAACCTCTGAGCCATCTCTCCAGCCCGAGTTTTTTTTTTAATTACATTAATTTATTGTGTGTGCACGTGCCACGGCGGACATGTAGAGGGAGGTCATACACGTGCATACGCCTGTTTGAACATGTGTTAGTGCCTGTGTAGGTGAAAGTGTGCATGTGAGCATGTGCAGCTAGAGGCCCTGAGCACTGATGCTGGGTGTCCTCCATTATTGATTGAGGCAGGGTTTCTCACTGAACCAGGACTTCGCTGATTCCGGCTGGTCTAGCTGGACGGCTTGCCCCAGGGATTCCCTAACTTGGATTCCCGAGTGCTGGGATTACAGTTAGCCTTGAGGCTTGCATAGCCCTAAGTGTGGTCTGTGAGCATTTGAACTTGAATCCTTGTGCTTGTGGGGCAAGCGCTTTATCCACGGAGCCGTCTCCCTGGCCTGGTCACGAGTTTTCTGCTCCTTCTATTTGATAGGGAAACTCTGTATTAACTTCACCCTGAAGCGGGTGGACTCTCCACCGCCAGTGCCCATGACCCTTTGTTTAGCTTCCCCCTGCTCAAAGAGGCAGTGGACTGTGACTATTGTCCTCCGGAAGCAGCTCTTGACTCTTCTTGGCACTTCAGAGCTCAACCTTCAGGTCACCAGGACTGATAACAAGGAGCTGTGTGTCCTGTGTCCTCTGCTCCCGTGAGTGGAGCTGAGGGCAGCTGCCTTGAAAATTGCTGGAGCATACGCAGTGCTGCCACTCACTTCCCTATGGTGCACAGGCTGACAGCCCAATTCCACTCCACATATTCAAATCCCCATCTCCAGGTCCACGTCCCTCTAAACCAAGTCAGAGCCCCAGGGCTTGAGAAACAAAAACCCGGCTGTGGCCCCAGGAACAGAGTGTTGGTGGCTATACTGTTGAGCGGAGTTTCCAGAGCCGTAGAAGCAAGTATCCTACCTGTATGAAGCAAGAAGAAAGCACAACCAGAGGGGAGTCTCTGACCCCAGACACAAGACCCAGAACCCTCAGGCGACAGTTCTCTGTCTCTGTCCTCCACAATGACCAAGGCCATATCTTCACCTTTCACCCCAGACTCTTCCTGCTTTGAGTAATAAAGTTACCTAATAAGGATTGTGGTCAGTTTCTTATCATGCTTGTGGAGGAGGCAGTGGACACTCATCAGGCCCTTCCAGCTCCCAGGGCCCCAAGTGACTTCCCTAAGGAGGACATCCCAGTTTCACTAGGGACCACTCCGGGTAGCTCCCAAACCTGAACCAGGGAGTCATGGAGGTGATGGGACTCAACAGTGTCCTGAGACCATGTCATCATCAGCAGTAGAACACAGGCTGGAAATACAGCCTCCTGCTGCTGCCTGAGATCTCTGCAGAGATCTCTGTTCAGTAAAGCTGGGATTCTTCTTCTTCCTTTTTTTTTTTTTTTTTTTTTTTTAATTTTGGTTTTTTGAGACAGGGTGCTGAGGGATGTCTTTCTGTACGCTGTGAATATATGTTGTTCCCATGGTTAATAAATAAGTTGCTTTGGCCTATGGCAAGGTAGCTTAGAGGCAGGTGGGAAATCCAAAGAGAGAGACAGGAAAGAGAAAGGCGGAGCCAGGGGAGCAACATTCCAGCAGACCGATAAAGCCACAGAACACAGATTAACAGAAACGGGTTAATTTAAAATATAAGGGACAGCTAGCAGGAAGCCTGCCATAGGCCATACAGTTTGAAAATAATATTAAGCCTCTGAATGATTATTTTATAACTGGCTGAGGGACCTTGGGGCGGGGCAGGACCAGAGGAATTCGGGACCGTGGGGCCGGGAGGGACCTGAGAAAACTTCCGCTATAACAGGGTTTCTCTGTGTTGCCCTGGCTGTCAGATTTGCCTGCTTCCTGAGTGTTGGGATGAAAATTTTCAGCCACCACTGCACGGCTGAAGCTAGGATTCTTGACTTTGCCGTGGAAAAAAGTTTCAGGACACGTTGGTATGAGGATAGAACTGGAGTTTATTAGGAAGAGGTTTTTTAAAAAAGATTTCCTTGAGCCAGTCTTTGATGGCACACACCTTTAATCCCAGCACTCAGGAGGCAGAGGCAGGTGGATCTCTGTGAGTTTGAGGCCAGCCTGGGCTACAGAGTGAGTTCCAGGAAAGGAGTTCCAGGAAAGGCACAAGCTACACAGAGAAACCCTGTCTCCAGAAACAAAAACAAAAACAAAACAAACAAACAAAAAAAGATTTCCTTGTTTTTATTTGTTTGTCTGCACATATGGTCAGAAGAGGATGTCAGATCCCCTGGAACTGGAGGCACAGATGGCTATGAGCCACCAGGTGGGTGCTGGGGACTGAACTCAGATCCTCTGCTAGAGTTTGCTGAACCATCTCACCAGCTCCTAACAGGAGATCTTAACACAGATTTAAGCACACGGGGGTTAATGGAAAAGGAGACGGGGCATGAGTCCCACCCAGGTTCTGCTGTGCTCTGAGTCCTGCTTAAGGGCCTTCCCAGTAGCCATGTGAAGGATTTCTGTGGCCTCTAAAGTCACATCTCAGAGCTTCCTAAGGGGCCTTTTTTTCACTTTCTCTTTTTAGAAAATAAAATTACAGGGTGGCTCCTTAGGTGCTTTGGACAGGATTGCAACTTGATGAGGAGAAACCCTTGGTCACAAAGGTTATACAAGGGGTTAAGGCACGCCTTTTTACCATAAATGGAGTTTACAGTCTGGCTTGTGAGATTCCGAGGAAATTACATATTTACAGGTGGGAAAAGAGGATGGCTATACTTGGTCATAAAACGTTATTGGCCATAGACCTGTAGACTCTTGGGCACAGCTCATTGACATTTCAACAGTCTTTTTTTTTTTTTTTTTTCTTCAGGGGAGAGCGCAAACACAGTCCCCCACTACCACAAATTATGCAGTCGAGTTTCCCCAAATTTGGGGAAATCACAGGGGTCAGCACATCTGGATTGCAATGGATAAGCCTCGCCCTGGGAAAACCACCTTTGTGATCATGGTATCTCCCCTGCCAGGTAAAGTATTCAACATTCTTATTTGAAATATCTTTATATAAAAGGATCACCATCTCTCCATAGACAAACTTCATGTCAAGTTTTGTTAATTATGCTGGCATTCTTTTTATTTATTTATTTATTATTTATTTATTCATTCATTTATTTAATGTGCATTGATGTTTTGCCTGCATATATGTCTTTGTGAGGGTGCCAGATCCCCTGGAACTAGAGTTACAGACATGTGTGAGCTGCCATGTGGGTGCTGGGGATTGAACCCGGGTCCTCTGAAAGAGCAGCTGGTGCTTTTAACCGCTGAGCCATCTCTCCAGCCCCTGTGCTGGAACTGTTAACTCCCAATGGCACCAGACTTCAACCAGACCCTGGGATCGGGGACTCCCTCCCCTGCCATTTTATCCTGCCTCCACTAGGCCCTAAAGAGCACCAGGCAGCAGGTCCTGGAGAGCACTAGGGAGTGAGTCCAGCTGTCGACACATGATGGGCCTCACCCAGCATCACTGTCCTTGTGGATATCTTCTGTGTCCCTCCAGAATGTCCTTCACCAGGGTCAGGGCACAGGGTATGCCAGGGCTTCACAGACCACAGACTATACTCAACAGTGCTGATTGTGATTCCTAAGGCTCTCGAGGCCAGAGCCCTGTCCTTACTCCAGTTGTGTCCCAGAGTCTGGCAAGGGCCTGATGCATGGTTAGAGTTCAGTTCTTGCTTGTTGAATGAATGCATGAATGAATGGTGACCAGGTGAATGAGGGAACAAATGAGGGTTCGGATATGTCATCTATTCCAGATGTTCAGTACAAGGATGCATCGCTGAGGGCCCATAATGTGCCAGCTGATTGGATTTGGGGAAGACAAGTGACAAAGTAGAGCTTGTGCCCTGAAGAGCTGACAGGGAGAGAGACAGGCAACAGCAGTCCCACACAGACCTCCTTTCAAGCCATGCATCCACTCCTGCGAGTTCTCTGCCCCTTCTAGGTGTGGCTCAGCTCAATGCTACGGCACCTGGGTTTGTGGAAGCTGAGTATTAGGGCATGCCCACAAACCTCATCTAGTGGCCACACCCTTGGGTGACATCCTCCCCAAAGTACAAGTAGGGCTGTGCTCTCTTATGTTTCTAACCAACAGAGGATGTCCAAGGTGACAGCGTGTGTGGGTTTATGTCGCATGAAGTGGGACAGTCATCGTGAGAGGAGCCCTTGCTGACCTGAGAGAAGCAGGCATCCAAAGAGTAAGAGACCATGGGACAAGGAAGTGAGAGAGGCCTTTGGCTAACAGTTGGATTCTGTCAACGGCCTTGTGAGCTTGGAGGAAGATTCTCCTCCCTAGTTGAGCCCCAGGTGAGACTGCAGCCCCAGCCAGTATGACTAGCACTGTGCTTACTGCCTTGTGAGGTCCCATGGTACAGGAGGGCTTCTGGCTGAACTTTTTGTGCTCACAAAATGTCCCGACCCTCAGAAACTGTGAGTTAGCAAATATCTGTTGTTTTAAGCTACTAAGGCTGTGGCCACCTATTCTGCAGCAGCTGGCCACAGATCCATCATCCCATCCTCCTTAAAGCCACTGATCCATCATCCCACCCTCCTTAAAGATATGGATCCATTGTCCCATCCACAGTCACAGATCCATCATCCCATCCTCCTTAAAAACATGGGTCCAGCCGGGCGGTGGTGGTGCACGCCTTTAATCCCAGCACTCGGGAGGCAGAGCCAGGCGGATCTCTGTGAGTTCGAGGCCAGCCTGGTCTCCAAAGCGAGTTCCAGGAAAGGCGCAAAGCTACACAGAGAAACCCTGTCTCGAAAAACCAAAAAAAAAAAAACATGGGTCCATTATCCCATCCACAGCCACAGGTCCATCATCCCACCTGCCTTAAAGCCATGGATCCATCATCCCATCCTCTTTAAACAGCCTCTTCCCAATTTAACTACCTGGATGCATCTTCTTTGGTGGAGTAGGCATGCTGCCCTTGGCTTTCCCAGAATTCCTTTCTTTTTCTTCTTACATACTCCATTTTCAAGTGGGAAACCAGTCCCCCTGCTCTACTTTGGTACATTTTATCCCTATGAAGCTGCCTTTGCTCTGGGAAATCCAGGGCTTGACACATGACCCTGGAGTCCATCAATCAGAAGTCTTCATTCATTTGGCTATGATTGAGCGGCTCAAGGCTGAGCAGGTGGCCCAAGCTGTGCTCTCAGAGTTAACTCTGGACTTTCTCCCACATTTGCTAAACAGATAGATTATAGTACCATATCTCCAGGTCATTTGTGCTACTGTGGAGGGGGGATGTATGTATGCACCTTAGTCTGGGCCCCATAGAAGGGAAAGTGAATAGAGACAGATATGGGAGACAAAGGTCTCACGATATTGCTCACTGGAGCACCTGGATGCCATCATGCCTGAAAGTAGAGATCTACCCCAGGATGTTGCCCTGATGCAAGACAATGCATCCCATTGTTTCTTTGAGCTTATTGAGTCTAGTCGCTGTTGGCAGATGAAAAAAAGAAAGTCCACTTTGGTGCACATGTCTCTCTAAATAAATATAAAATCCAGTGATAGCCCTTGTATTAGGTTTCTATTGCTGTGGTAAAAGCCATAACCATAACCAAAAGCTTACAACGCTCAGGCCACACTCCTGATTGAAGTCGCAGCACAAGAACTCAAGGCAGGAGTACGAAGTCAGGAACTAAAGCAGATGCCTAGTGCTGCTTACTGCCATGCCTCCTATGGCTGCCTCAGCCTGCTGTCTTATACAACCCAGGACTGCGTGCCAGAGCTGGTACCACCCACAGTGGGCTGGGTCCTCCTGTACCAATCACTGATGAAGAAAATGCCCCACAGGCCTTGCCTACAGGTAATCTGAGGAAGGCAACCCTTCAAATAAGATTTCCTCTTGAAGCCTTTAAACCCAGCCACTCGGGAGGCAGAGCCAGGCAGATCTCTGTGAGTTCGAGGCCAGCCTGGTCTACAGAGTGAGATTCCTCTTTCCAGATGACTCTAGCTGTGTCTAACCAGCAGGCCCTCCTCAGGGTCACCTTCCTTGGCCCACAGTGGCTCTTCCCTATGTCTATCCCTTCCACTCAGCATCCGCTTCCTCCCACCTCTCCTGGTCTTTAGCGTTTCAAACCTGAGTTTTTCAACTCAAGCAAGGTTTGAAGCACTCTTTGAAAGGGAATGACAGGCATTTCATCAGGTGAAAGCAGGAGGGTCAGCAGTTCAAGACCCACCAGGGCTACCTACATAAGACCCTGTCTCAAAAAAAAAGGGGGGGGGGGTCTGGAAAAATGGATTCTCAGTGGTTCAATTCCCAGCACACACATGATGACTCACAATTGTAACTCCAGTTCCAAGGGATTCAATGCCTTCTTCTGAACTCCCCAGGCACCAGGTGCTCAGGTGGTACACACACATACATGCGTACATGTATATGCATACACATACATGCAGGCAAAATACTCATGCACATGAAATATTCATACACGTAAAATAAAACCAATAAATCTTGAGGCAGGAGAGATGACTCGGCAGTTAAGAGCACTCATTGCTCTTGTGGAGGACCCAAGGCCAATTCCCACCACCCACAACCATTCACAACTCTGGTTTGAGGGTATTCAATGCTCTCTTCTGACCTCTACAGGCACCAAACACACACGCATGTGGTATGCATATGCAGGCAAAGCAGTCATAAAGTAAGATAAATAAATCTAATTTAAATATTTTAAAAGAAATCTTAAACACATACACACACACACACACACACACACACACACACACACACACACACGTGCCAGCATGATGGCTCAACAGATAATGGTGCTCACCGTTCACCATGCAGGCCTGACAGCTTGAATTTAACTCCAAATCTTAATGGTAGCACGACAGAATTGACTCCTGCAAGCTGTCCTCTGACCCCATCATACCTACGAGTGCACATTAAAAAAAATAAAATAAAAACCTGTATTTTTGTGTTTGGTATGTACCCAAACCAGACCAAACCAAAAGTACCTTTTGAGTCAAACTGCATAAAGAGATGGCCCAAAGCAAGGGAGTTCACTGGGGAACACTGAACACCAGCGTGTGTGGGACCTTATCAAACACTGGGCCATTCACCTGCAGTCCCCACCCTGCCTCTGCAATGGCCAGGAGGCGATTGAGGCCGCATTTTTTAGTTAGGGGACTCAGGTACAAAGGGAACTCTTATGGTTTAGTTGGGGGGGGGGAGACAGAGAGACAGAGAGAGAGAGAGAGAGAGAGAGAGAGAGAGAGAGAGAGAGATTGAGAGAATGTACTAGAACAATGTTTCTCAAACTCTAGGTACCACTCACTTCTCCTGGGTGGCTTGTTTTGTTTGGTGGAACTCTGGGCCTTGTGCATGCGAGGCCGGCAGCCAGCACTGAGCTGCACCCAGGGCTGTACTTTATTAAACAGACTGCTCTCCTCCCCGACCCTCTCCCTGGTTTTTGTTGGGTTAGTTTTGTTGTTTGTCTTGAGAGCAAACCCTCTACATAACTGAGGATCTCCTTGAAGTGTTGAATCTCCTGCCTCCACGTCTGGGTGCTGGGATTACCGGTGTGCACCTCCACATCGGGTTTATGGGGTGCTGTTGACGGAACCCGAGGCTCTGTCCCCAGTCTCTGACTGAGCCAGTAGATACTCTGGTGTGAGTATACATCAGAAGTTCCTGTGCTGCTGGCCTAGCACGTGTGAGGTTCTGGTTCAATTCCTAGCATTGAAGGAGAGACCAAAAAAGTTCTTGCGTTTAAACTAGAATTCTTCAAGTGGCGGGGTTGAGGGGCGGAGCCTAGTTGGAGCTGTTAGGGGCGGAGCCTAGTAAGAGGTGTTGAGGGGCGGAGCCTAGTTGGAGGGTTTAGGGCCAAGGTGTGGAGCCAGATTCACGTCTATCAGAGATGGTTGTTCTCTAGTAAAACGCCCCTCCCCCCTTTCCCCGCCCCACCCCTCCCCCACCCATTGGTCTCACTCCCACATGCTGGTCAAGCTGCTTTCTAAGTGAGTTGAAGCAGTGTCACAGGTCCCTCCCCAGAAGGCAGGCAGACGCCGGTGCCAGCTCTTGGACATCCCGGTCTGCAGAGTCATAGTCTGAAACAAACCTCTCTCCTCCATCGTTAATCCCGGGAACAGTGTTGCAGCAACAGGAAGTAGCAGGCCAGTTCATGGGGGCGGTGGGAAGGGAGGAGGACACGCGTGTCCACGGCTCTAATGCGCTCTTTGTATTGCTAACAGCATTCTAATTGCGGGTCTCTGGATCACGCTTTCAGAACCGCTGGAGAAATGGTATTAAGGAAATTACAGAGCCAGCAAGGGACAACCCCAAGGCACACTCCCGCCAGCTCAGGGGCAGAGCCACCAAGCTGCTGCTGGGTGTGTGGCCAAAAGAGCCCTAACACTAGACACAAGCCGATCCACCACTGTGGCTCCTGAAGGCTTCAGCCCCTGCACGGGTACCTAACTCAGCTGAATATTCTTTTGAATGGCATACACAGCCTGCTCTGCCCCTGGCAAGGCGAGGGGAATCAATGTGAGAGGTCCCTGCCCACCATAGGAAGGGCATCCAAATAGGTCAGGCAGCCACGGGGCAGGGAGAAGAACATCGATTTAGTATGCCCATTTGACATGTGACAGGAAAGATGATTTGTGGCGAGGAAACATGTTATTTACAGCCCTTCGCTCCCAACTAAGATGGTAGATCCCAGGAGGGGGCTGATGACCTAGAGGATAGAGATGCAGACCCTTAACCTTCCTCCCAGGATCCCTTGGGCTGGGCTGACCCAGCCCGGTGCCTCTGCCCGTCCTCTGCTCTCCATTTTACGGTTATCCTCTCTTCTCTTCGGGTCTCCTTGTATCTCTTTCGAGCCCTCTGTCTTTGCCTCCCTCCCCTTACTCATCCTTCCTCCTCTCTCCACACCCTCTTCCTCCTCTCCTCTGCCCCTCTCTGTGGCCTCCTTCTCCAGGGGCCCCAGGCCGGTGGGAACCGCAGCTCCTCAGAACCGTCTTCTGGCCTCAGGGTGCCTTACACCCACCCATCCTCTGAACAGCACAGAGCAGGGAAAAGAGTGCTTTACCAGGAAGGGGTGGGGGAGGACCGCGACAGGGGAGGAGAGCCCCATTTTCACAGAGCGCTGGACTCCCAGGACAGTTCTGAGACAGAAGGACAAATGGGGGCTAAGGGCTGGGGTGGAGGCAGTAAGAATGGGGGCTTGGTGGGAAAGCTGCGATCGCCACTAACAGACCAATGAGCCTGGGAACCCGCCCCCCGGCACAAAGGACTCTTGGATATTTTTGTCGCTTAGAGGAAGCCTCATGGAGGAAAATATTAGGAACCACTTGAGGTCTAGACTGCCATCGCGTAACCTCTAGCCAGTGTATGATCGCGGACCTGCGCAGGCTGTTTCTTCATGTGTAGAACAGAAGCAAAGGGCTGGGGGTGGAGTTCAGTGTGGGAGCCTTTGCTTAGCCCTGGGTTCGAGTCCCAGCCACAAAACTTCGTGTCAAACACGAGGTAAAGCCTGCACAACAGAGTGGTAAGAGAGGAACCAGCATGTATGGATCCATTACTGCTGTGACAAACGGCCATGATGTGGATGGCCGGAGGCAACGCAGATGTATCTCTTGAAGCTCTGGAGGGCAGAAGCCCAGGGTGTTAGAAGGACTGGGCTCTTCCGGAAGTCCTAGAGAGAACCAGTTTCTTGAGATACCCGCCCCCATTTTCAAAGCCAGAGGCAGCCTTGCACCCCTCTGACCCATCCTCTGTGATCACACCTCCCTGGATTTCCTCTCCCTCCCTCCTACAATTTTAAGGGTTCTGGTTGTCTGGTTTGAAGTAGGGTCTCACCATGTATCCTGGGCTGACTTTGAACTCATGGTCCTCCTGCCTCAGCCTCCCCAGCGCTTGGAGTATAGGCATATGCCACCATGACCATCTTAAGAACTTCTGTGGCCGGGCAGTGGTGGTGCACGCCTTTAATCCCAGCACTTGGGAGGCAGAGGTGGTTCTCTGAGTTCGAGGGCAGCCTGGTCTACAGAGCGAGTTCCAGGACAGCCAGGACTATTACACAGAGAAATCTTGTCTCAAAAAACAAACAAACAACAACAACAACACACAAAACAGAAGAACTGCGATTACACTGGACCCACCCAGAAAACCCAGGAAATCCCCCTATTTTAACAAGGCCATGTGATTAGCAGCCTCAATTCACCGGCAGCCTTGATGCCCCCTTGGCATGTTCATCTGACCTACTTCTCCTCTGATGGCCCACAGGTCCCAGAGACTAGGACATGGCCATCTTTGGGGGCCTTATAGCCTCCTCAGAAAGCTTTCAAAGGCTGGGGCCCTGGGTCGTTTTGATCTTCCCAACATACATGTCTGGGGAAGGTGTGTGTAGTGGCACTTAGTGTTGTTAACCCATTTTACAGATGGGGAGATCAAGGTCACCTTTGACTATCACCCTTACCTTAAGAAGCTGGCCTTGGAGTCCCAGTCTGACCTCACTTTTATCACAGTCCTCCCACAACTCCCAGGATACTGTATAAAAACAAAATGGTGTTTAATTCCCTTTATTAATTTGTGGAGCCCTCCCTATTCACAGCACGAAATGCTGAGGGTTGTGGGAGGGTCCTCAGGGCATCAGAGTGAGGACTGTTAGGGCTAGACTTTGTGGGAGGACTGGGGTGAGGGGGACACTGAGAAAGGTCTCTGGGGTGCTTTAGGCTCCTGGTATGAGAACTTCAGTTTCCCTGGCGTGGGTCCTGAAATGAGACTCTCCATTCTCATGTGCAGAATGAGACTGACATCACCCGCTTCTTGGATAGACTTGCCATGTGGAGTTAGATCGATAGCATGGGAAAAGCCTGAAGCAGGTACCAGAAGTAAGAGCTCCCAAGGCAGTTAGATCTTTTATAATTATTATTTTTATTTATTTATTTATTTATTTATTTATTTATTTATTTATTTATTGGGTTTGTCAAGACAGAGTTTCTCTATGTAGCCCTGGCTGTCCTGGAACTCACTCTATAGACCAGACCCGCCTCGAACTCACAGGAACTGCCTCTGCCTCCCGAGTGCTGGGATTAAAGGTGTGCGCCACCACTGCCCGGCTATAATTATTATAATTATCTCTTTAGAAGTGCTGGGGATTGAACCCAAGACCTTGCACATATGAGGCAAGCCACTGAGCTACAGCCCCAGCACCGCTTTTTTTTTTTTTTTTTTTTTTTTGAGCCAGGGTTGTGCTGTTTGAATTCAGTATGTAGCCCAGGCTGGCTTCAAACTTGAGAACCTTGGGCTAAAGAGAGGACTCTACCAGAGGACCTGGGTTTGATTCCCAGTGCCCACAAGATGGCTCACTACTGTCTGTAACTCTCTCCTAAGGGATCCGAATGCATCTAGAGCATCTAAGATCTAAACTCTAGATTCTAAAGCATCCTAGGGGGTGTTCTCTTCTGGATTCTGTGGGCACCAGGCACGTGCATACTGTATAGACATCCATGCAAGTGAAACACTCATGCACATAAAATAATAATGATAATAATAAAACACTTGAGGTCTTCCTGACTCAGCTTCTCAAGTGCTGGGATCACAGGCTGTCCCGCTGTGTCTGTTTGTAATTATTGTTATCTTATTATTTGGATTCCAACCAGAATTCTGGGTCACAGAGCAAGCTGAATGGTGCTGACTGACACTGGAAAACAGACCCTGGGTGTGAGAGGTAGAAAGCCTGAGCAGGGAGCCAAAAGACCAGCGTGGGAGCCTTGTTGCTCCCTGGTTGACTGGTGAATCCTAAGTAAGTGGCTTCTCCACTCAGAACCTCGGT